ATCAGAATAGACTTAAACCTTCCTCCCTCTCCACCAAGTCCTAAATATCCTGTGCCACACAGGCTGTTGAACTGGGATATGAAGTTTGCACAACCAACAGCCTATGCAGATGAGAGGTGGAAATGAACAGCATTCTCACAAAGGGTAACATTCACCCAGTGTTCCCTTATAAGCCCAGGTGGAACCACTACTACCAGAGGCAGCAAAATTTGGATCAGATGGGTTTGTTTGCATCGTTCAACATGTGTTACAATCGCTCCTTAAAAATATCTTCTCCAAAGTTTCCTATTCCAATTGCCACAACATCAAGTATGCCTGTAATGCTGACCACACCATTTTTTTTAAAATACAAACTGGCATTTTAAAGATGGTTCTTTCCCCCTTGTCTCTCTCACATGAAGGTGGAAAGTACATGCATCAGTAACCCTTGTGATGGCATGCCAAGTTCATCAAGCACACTTCTTTAAAGTTACTTGTTTCCATGAATCATGAAGTAAACACCTTCTACCCAAGACAATGGTGGAGACAAAAGCCTGTTAGCTTTCCATTCTTACATGGGGAAAAAAGAAAAAAAAAAACAACAAAAAACTAGCAGGTGCAGGGGGGAGAAAAAGAAATCTAGACATAACATCTAGCATTCCACTCGTACTGCACTTTCCTGGGCTTGCATGTACAATCCGCTACACCACACACAGCGGACTGGCAAGTAAAATGTGTGTGTAATATAGATCTACCAGTCAGTGGCCCAGAAAGAGGTATGTCAGTAGAGATTAGCTCCAAAATCGTTGGGAGACTCTGCATTGATCTGAGGAGAGCAAAACAGAGACTCTAGAAGGGACTAGTAGTATGTACTGTTAACTGCAGAGCACTAAACCATGTCTTTAAGAACACACACACGATTAAAGTGATTTTTTTCAAGCTGGCTTATGGAGATCTGTGGGCACAGAGCCAACAGAAGCCTGCCTGAAAGTAGTAGAGGTGACCAGCTGGTCAGCTGGCACTCCGTTACATGCTCTGACCAATCTGCCGAAGCACTACAAAGAAGGGTTCTTCAAGGGCTCTTAAAGAGAGTAAGCTTCAATGGGACAAGAGGAAAAGTCCTTGCAAGGACTTGAAATTGAAAAGGTCAGGCAGGAAGTAATGAGCATATGGAAGACACCTGTGGAGCACCACACTGCTTTGTGCCAGGGCTCCTACTCTTAACACATTCCTGGACAGCCTTGAAAAAGGGGGTACTGGGGAGCTGGCGGAGTTTGCTGACAAATCGGAGGTATTCAAGCCAGGGAAGATGAAGCCTGACCAGACGGCTGCAGAAGAGCTGCACAAGACTAAGTGACTGAATAAAGAGACAAATGAAATTCAATGCAGTTAAGCAGAGAGTGGTGCACACAGGAATAAACAACCCCAACTTTAGTCGCACAGCAATGGGCTCTAACCTGACTACCGCCACTCAGAAGCAAGACCTCTGAGCCACGATCTCTGCTGCAACACTGACATCAGCTCAGTGCTGAGCTCAGAGAACGCAGGCATTCTCTCCCTCCCCCTCCTAATGTAGATTCAGCTACTTCAGGTAATACTCACAGGGGAATGACTGTTCTTGTGCTTTCTTTTTATAATCCAGCTATAAGTACTCCAAGTCAAAAGCAAGGAGCAGCAAGATTTAGACATAAATCTTCTGAATTACATGAGTGCAGACCACTAAGAGGACAAGTCTGGCACTCAAAAGGTGTTTGTAAAGTTCAAGAGCAAACAAAGCAAGTTTGGAGGTGGGGGAGGTTAGCATTTAATTAGCACAGCTGGTATAGTTAAGGACCAGCTACCACACAAAAAGCTGTGGGTATCCATAAATTTTGCACTTTTTCCTTCCTCTAGCTACATCATATACCCTAATACCAGGTATTCTCTCATTTCAAAAAAACTCATCTCTCAGGTCTCAGCCCATCAGAGCTACAACAATTTTCTCTCCCTTACCACACAGCAGTTTCAAATCTTGAATTGCAGCTCAGTTGTCCTTCCTATCAGATCTCTGGATTGAGAGTTCTTTTGAAGACCAAACAAAACATATCTTGCAACCTGACAACAGCCATTCTAAATGCTTACAAAGTTAAAAAGTTAACTATCATCTGCAGAAGGTTGGGCTAATTGGCCACAGCTCAATCAAGACACACTGTAAGCATTCCCAGCAAGCATTTTTCTATCAGATACATACTTGATTTCAAGATCAGTCGGGAAAATCCAGTTCCCCAAAATTACATCCCCAGCAGAGAGAAGAACAAAGAGCATCACCAAGTTCAGAAGAGAGAGGAAGCGGTAAGCAAAGCAGATCAAAGACAAAGCAGCACCTCTCTTTACACTTCAGCTCACAGCACCACCTAATCCAGAAATCAAACCAGCTTACCGCACACAGCAATCCAGCGTTAGCCTCTAATCAAGCACACGCAGCTTATTTATAAAAGCATCTCTGCTGAAATCAGCTGGATCGCTACTTTGCTACCCTTTTGCCTGCATGCCAAAAACAACGTGAATATTAAGGCTCAGAAAATTGGAGTGCCTTGTACAAAACTGACCAAGCACACATGTGGCAAAGCGTTACTACCCAATCGTTTTTAATGAGGCTTCTCGGGACTTACCTGGTGCAGAAACCAAGATCTGGCATCGGGTAAGAATAGCCAGGAGGAAATCGTTGTGAGAGTGGACTGCGTAAAGACAGACAGTTCATTAGCAACACGTCAGTGCCCAGAGGCACCCCCTCAAAGCAATCTTAAAGTAGCACGCTATGCCTTTCCACAGTCATGTTTTCCCCACATGCTTTCAATTTAAGGTTTTTTTGAGAGTTTTCTTCTACTGGACCCAGAATCTGCTACCTCCACACCAACAAAAAGGATACCACACATGGCACGGAAACAAGTTAGGTCACTTCTCAGCGTGCCACACACACAAATCCAGCCCTACAGCATGCAACATGAAACATCTGGTGTTTTCAGCCAGTCAGAGGAGGACCAGCTGTCCCCCCGCCACACAGACTTCTGGTAGCAGGGCTTTTGATTTTGCTAGAAAAGGGCCAGTAAGAGCCAGCCCCAAGAAGGTGAAGCTAAGTCAAATAGGTTCTAGATAAAATGCAACTTCCTCGCAGAAGGGTTACTGGAACAGAGTAATTGCGCGTTAGAAAGAGCAAAGACGAACTTCATAAGCCAGAGGGTTACACAATCCTCTTTGGCCTTTGAACCCAAGCACCAACAAACTCCCTGCCCTTCCCCACAGGGATCATGAACATGGAAGTCAGGAGCCTCCACAACGCGCTCAGCAATGCCCGCCAATGTTGGCAGACCCACACAGAGGTGAGGACAAAGGAATCTCACCCGTCAGCACTCCAGTCTGCCACCCCCAAAGGCCAGGAAGGGGATCTGCCTGCTGCAAAATCGCCTGGGTGAACTCGAGGTTTCCCTCCCCCACTTCAGCCACACTACCAGTTCAAGTCCCAACCAAAGGGAGAGTGCAGTATGGAAAGGACTGGGTCTCTACGGTGACATAAAAAAAAAAAAAAGGTTTTCGGTTGCTGGGACAGCATATTTTACCTTTTTACCGTATTTACACAAGGCCAAATTGCTTGTCAGTGCCGGGGCCACAAAGGGACTTCCCCCTGCAGGCCAAGGCACCTCCCACCTTTTTAACTCTATTGCTACCGGAGCCCTGGCCGTTCTTATTTCCCTCGCAGCAACTTCCCTGTCGGGGAGGCAACATGCAGCCGGGAGGAGCTCCCCCCAGGCCTAGGAGGGGCAAGGCAGCATTACAGCTGGCAGAAAAACAAACACAAGATGGCTTTTTACCATTGTCTTGCGTGAGAAGCCTGCGTGCTTCCAGGTCAAACTCCTCTTTACTGATCTTTTGCTTGAACCAGAGCTTCAAGT